AAGGGAAAATTTTCTTGTAGCACAAATTTTTTATATTTTTTTCTCAACTTTTATTCAGAACAACATCATTTCAAGGCACTTCAGTTTGAAACCGTTCTGTTCAGAGTTAAACGCGCAACATCGTTTAAAAAGGATTTGGCCTCAACTGCAGTCAAAGAATTGTGTCATACGAATTCATGATGTTGTAGTTCAGTGCGTGACAGATATGAATTCAAAGCGCGAAGGGCTTTTCAATCTGTTCATGTCGGATAGGAAATCCAAAGCATCATTGCCTTCTGACCAGCCACTCGTTCATTTGGAACTAGCTTCATTCTATCATCCAGCTACTGAAGCTATGCCATGTAATTTGCATTGTTAGTATTGTTCACCCAAGTGACAATTTCAAAGCTGCTCTCCATTTTCAGAGGTGTAGTTAATTTTAAGCTTCTGAGTGTCACGAAGCAAAAGAGTCTACTTGGAGAGGGGTTGAACTTCAAAAGAAAATCCCAACAATTTTTTAAGAATGCTCTCACCTAACACGTATTTTCAGTACCCTCTAATACAGTTCACCTTCTCCTTGCGCCGTTTGTTTTCTTGTTAGATCAGAGGACAGTTCGATGGGCAGCCTTCATTTTTCAGGACATAAGCACCGCTGTGGTTAGTTGAGAAATCAGCAGAGAAAAATATTTTTAAACTGGAAATTGTTACGAACACCACTGTTCGGTTAAAGCTCTAAAAAATGTTTGTATAAGTTTTTGTTCAAGCAGTGATTTAGTATCCTTCGAACTTGCCTACTTTCACCAGTGTACGTGAAACGGCCACGAAGCACATTCAAGTTGACAAAAGCTCCAATTTTTAGAAAAGGACTGGAGCAACTTTCGACGTGAAAGATATGCCAGAAAGTGATATTAGAGTCGATTTTCTAATGCCTAAGGTAAAGACTTGAAAGTGGTTATCATGATTCGATTTTTCTTGCATTTATGGTAAATCATATTTTTAGGTTCTCTAAGAAGTTCTTTTGGATTGGAATTTTGTTTCTCTTGGGCATTTTTGAGCTTTTTTGCAACATTTAGGTAATCATTCCTCTGACTGCTTGTAAAACTGGAGATTATCGATATCCGCGCAGGTTAATAATTAGCATGAGCACCGTACTGATGACTAATTGTGGTTCATTACATTCCCAGGACTCTTCGTCCTTTTTCAAATCAATATCCTCTAATTTGCTTGATCTTGTTGAGCAAGTCCAGCTGTCTTTCGATGTTGAGCATTTCCGAAAATTTATCATACAGCTTAATGACACTATGGTAGAGTCAGAACCTGGTTAGTCAGTGAAATCTTGTCTTTATATGGATTGATAATTCCTCCCCTTGGATCACCTTCAATTTATTTGCTTGTAGGGGAAGAGAGGTTTTGGATAAGCACCTCACCTGTTTGGATTGACACCGATTATGGGGATGGTACCAAAACTGCTCCTGTTCTTGGAGACGTTGCATTTCACGCTGTCGTGATGCTGTCTCCAAATCAGGTATTAAGACAACTAAAGATTAAATTCGCCATTGAGTGCATAATAATTTTTTATCGTTGGCAATAAATTTCTGTTCTAGATAAATGTGGCTATACAACCTCAGTGTCGAGTTCGAGTTTTCTTGGACCATTTTCAACTTGTTCAGCTTACGAGATTATTTAGTGCTCTTTCACTTTTTGTGGAACAGCTTGAGGCTGATAGGAAGTTTTTTACTGGCCAAGTGACCAATGGGGATGCAACACCCCTGGCACTGGTGGCAATCATTGAACAAGTAATACTTTTTCGTTGTAATTATTTCTACGTTAATATACCATTTTCTTTTTTGTTCTTAGCATTTTAGATCCAAGTAAATTTGCTTCTTCCATGTACACCTATTCAAAACCCTTATGACAATTCTATCCGTCCTCCAGCAGACTGTACTACATCGTCAATAGGTATGTATTTTGTATGAAACACATCTGTAGTTGTGTTACATTGTTTGCGTACATCACTCCTTTCCAATTCGCCTCTACATTTGCTTTTTACAGTTTCTATATTTTTTTACAAAGAGTAGTTCTCTCCTTTTCAGATTTTCCTCGTAACGTTAATTTACAGCAAAAAATGTGTCGTTTTCTTTTTTAATTACACTTTCTTTTTTTACATACAAATTCTCTATTCACAATAACAGAATTATTACGGAATGTTAAAAATTTGAGGTTTTTTTAAAAATTTATAAGAATATTATGCTGCTGAGGAGTCCTCTCTTTGTACTGTTTCCGTTTTGCTATCTATACTGAAATCCACCTTCTCCTCCTTATCTTTATTTTGACTTCTTATCCATGGTGGAAGTCTGGTTCTCTTCAGCTGAGAAAGTCTCTCGCTGACTCTTGAAGGAGTTGGACGATTGGCCTGCAACACTGTGTTTTAAAAAGCCGTTCAGATACATTCAAAAATTTGTTTTGATGACAGATTATTCAGTGATTATTCAGTAGTCGCCCATTCTAGGTGGATAGCTTCAAAAACAAAGTCTGTGGCCAAATTATTTTTCTAAAATATAGGCAAAATACTGATAATTGTTGCAATTTTGTAAGATTTTTGTTGGTTAATGTGGATTGCAGAAAATTTAATACCTTTGATTCCGTTTTTTCTGACGTGACACTTAATATAGGAGTATTGATTTGTGAGTTCTCAGTCCTTTTAAGTACTATATCAGATGTTGTGCCTGGCCGCCTTGAAAGCTTGATAAATCGTGCCATGTTGAATTTTTTGATTCGTAAATCTTGAGTTGTTTTCGACGGTAGTGAAAAAGTGGGGATTCTTTTGTCTTCCACTTTTTTTGTCACAGTTTCAGTCGCTGCAGTTGTAGTTGGCAATATTTCACTCGTGCTTGCTGTCTCTGTCGATTCTTCTTCATCGGTTTCTTCACTCGTTTCAACTTTCATTTTCTTGCCTTTAAATGCTTTTGATGTTTAACGTAGTTGTCTTCTCATTTTAACCATTAGTAATCAAGGAGAAAATGCAAAAAGCAGTGCATCATAAGAACCCTACTTTGTTTTTCTTTAACACAACAAGGTTTTGGAGCTGGACGTTCAAATTCCTTTTTCGGGCAAACGTCTTCAATGTCTTTCGTGTAGTCTGTCTGACATATCAGATTTGGTTCACTAGTCAAACTGATTGCTTGTCTGCCATTCATGACATGGAATCCATCCTGGGAACAAACCATCGGGTTTTCTGTAAACAGAGTTGTTCTTTATAATAGTTTTTTGGAAGGTGGGGAGAAGGTGTACTAGGGCTTTGAAACACAAATCAAATAATTTTTAGTTACTTCTTGAGTAATCTTTCTCAAATCACCTTGGAGCCTTACGGTTAAGTGGCTGGAACCTGTAATTTCACCTTGTTGAACGACTTGAAGTTTATTATGTGACAAATCTAACGTGTGAAGGTTGGCTAGATGTGCAAAGCTGAGGGGCTGTAATAATAGTTGATATTTATTTGGCACTGTATATGTCGAATTTTTACTTCAAAGGATTAATGTGTGGAAGTGAAGGGAAAAAATTGGTACTTGTATAGTTCTGATGTTGTTATGAGCAAGTGAAACTTGTCGCAAAAAGGGCGCTCCTTGGAACATCTCTGCCGTTACGGATGTCAAGCAGTTCTTTGGTAACCAGAGGAGTAGGAGAGGAGTTGTTGCGAACGCTCCGGGCAGAATTTCCTGAAGGTAGTTGCCACTGAAGGTTGGTTATGTGGACTGTAAATTTAGAATGAACAGTTAGTGTAGCCTTTTCTCCAAAAGGATTTTTCGGTGACATTCTCAAGAGAGTTCATTTTTTGTCTAAAATCATTTTCCTCGCAATCTGAACGTACTTTTATGCCGTTTCCTTCTAGATTGAGGTTTTGTAAATTTTCTAAACCAGAAAACATCTCTGTAGTAATTTCGCTTATGTAGTTATAGCTTAGGTCCAGAACCTGAAAAGAATTTCAGCGAATATGGCAAGTAAATTGGAGTATTTTGGATTTGCATTTGCGAAATTTTACCTTTTGACATGGTTACAATTGTAAAGAATAGAAAGTTTTATTAGGGCATAGATAGTTTTTTACCTGAATTTGGTTAAACTGTCCTAGGACACCTTCCGCTAATTTACTGATATTATTGCTTCCAAGGAACAGATATTTCAAATTCTTTGAATCAGCCATCACACCTTTTTCAATATCACTGATTTTATTTCCAGTCAAGGTCAATAGAGCCAAACTTGGTAGATCTATTAGCTGGTCTTTCGTAATTTTCTCAATCTGAAAATAATTTGGGTTATTATTTCGGGTGATTTTTAAACGGCAGATGTCCCGTAAAAAAGGATGAGTTAACGACAATTCGGTTTAGTCAAATTTTAAAGTGTTTTAGGGATTAATTCATAAGTTTCAGTTACTGCGTTATTCTTATATAATTAGCTGACTAGAATTAAGAGGCCTTTTTTGGTTTGTAGTCGGAGTAAAAGTTCAAAAACGTTTGTTTGAAGCGTTTGTTTTAGGTTTCTTTTTATACTTTTGGTAATTCATAATTAAGTAGGTGAATGGAGTTGCAAATTCTGCACATTCATTGACCTTCGTTCTCCTTTACCACTACTTGTTCCATCGAATGTATTACGTAAAAGTCGGTCCCTTGTAGGGGCCACTCAACCCTTTTGTTACATAATTGATATTATGGAAATTTTTGAAAGCTTTTTTTTTCCAATTGAAAAAAAGAATAGATTTTCCCATTATTTCACCGTCGACTTTTAAGGTTTTGCTGCACTGAATATAACTGTTATTGCTAATAGTAGAGTAAATCGGTATTTAACCTCATTGTATTTCATATGTAGACCGATGAGGTTTTCAAGGTTCTGCAAAGCGACAGTCGGAATAGATTTCATGCAGTTATTGTCCAAAATCAGGTTCTGCAGCGTTCGCTTCACATCAGCAAAAACTGGCCCTTTAATATTGCAGATCTGAAATTTGCATGAACTTTCATCTTAGTTGCTTAAATTTTTGAAAGTAGTTTTTGAGGCAAAGGCTTATTTTCTATCACTTTTTTTCTGAAGATGAATTATTCACTTACTTTATTGCATCCCAAATCTAAGTCGATGAGATTTGAAACGTTTCTGAAGATAGGTGTTTCAATATCGTCAATTTGGTTACAACGGAAACTGACTATAGACAAGGCATTCATCCCAATAAGGGCGTCTGTGGGCATTTGAATAAGCTTGTTATGCGATATTGACAGTTCTTGCATCACTGATTCGAGACCTCGGAAAGCATCTGGGTGCAGCGCGCGAATACGGTTGTTGTCGAGAACGAGCTTTTTGATACGCAAGTTGCGGAACGCGTATCTGCCTATCTATAAGCGGTGTTATTCAAATACTGGAATAAATAAATAATACACGACAGTAAAATAGTTAAGTCAAAAAGCTCCTCGGTTTGCTGATTTGGAAACTTAAAAGTTCCTCTTTTCTATCTAAAAGGAAACAGCAGTTTGGTAGAAGGTTACCTGTACTATATTGGCGTTTTCGAGGTATAGTTCACGAATTTCCATAGGAGTTTTCTTCAACTGCTCCACTATTATAGGACCTTCTGGTCCGCTGCATTTTATGACAATACCGTCAAAATTGTCAAAACATGAACATGCCGTTTGATTTCGTAAAAAACTTGGACAGTAGGCCAGTGCTTGAACAATACATAAAGATACTGTTAAGAACCGGAGGAGCATGAAGCAGAATTTTTGATGGATGGATTGTTTTTACAATCTGTGAATAGCAGTGGGATAATACGGCAGTCTTGGGACAAAAAATTACAGCAAGCTAGTAACAAGGATAAATGTGAACTTATAAGCACTTTAAATGGGACTAGGCTGAAGGAAACGATGGGTGCTAAACACGCAGTTGAGCTGCACGGAAGGAATCTGTTGGTGGAAATTTTTGGGGGAGGGGATAGAACTGAAAATGTTAGGGGTCGGCGCCCTAACATATTTCCACATACGATGTGAATGAAACGTAGGTCAAGGGCATATTCTTTTATTCACATTTCTTAAGAACGCATTTGATCCCTAAAACATTTGAAAATCATTGTCCCTGTCGACTTGAATACATGTGTATTTATATAAATATATTCTTTTTTCTTTCTTGAAACAAATTGTACAAGATTTTATAAGCTAACAGTATTTTTTTCTTTTTTGTTTTTTTTTCTAATCACGTGATCATAATATACAGAACAGCAAAGCTTCTAAAAACATAGATAAGATTTTTAGAGTACTATAGATCAAAGATTTCATTCCTTTCGTTTTTTGCCTGGAAACTTAATTTCTTGGCCTAGCGGTTCCACACTATGCAGGAAATTTTTTGCCCATTGTTTCACGAAATCATTCATTGATGTAAGTTTTTCTTGAATTTCTTTGCAGAAGCTGCTTGCAGACATTAGATCTATAGTATCCTGATCACCGATGGCAACTAAGTAAAAAGAGAGAAAAAAAATAAAACAAGGGGAAAAATTTCAGGGTTTTCTTTACAGAAATCAGCAAATATACATTATGGCTGTAGTTAAAGATTGCGTTGATGCGAAGAAGGATTGTGTTATCGATAGTTAAAAACAAATTTGGTTTTGACGTTCATTTTGAAATCAGTGCACTTTAGGCGTCTAGAAATCCACAAACGTTTTGTCTGATATTAACAGAGGCGAAATTGACAAATTTAAATTACATAAATGTAAATGAATAAAAAAATTGTTAGTAAATAACTAAAAATACTCGTAGTTAGTTAAAGCTAGAACATATTCTGCTGTATTATCAGCAGGCTGGACTTCATCTGTGCCGCTTCTGGATTTTTTCTTTTGTTGTGGCCCTACTTGTAACACGCCTGATTATAAGTACCCGGGGCGTATATCCAAGCATGATTGTCATCAATGTAATTAAATGATCCACTCCTAAATAGATTTACCATTGGAAAAGGAAAGAAGAAGAGAGTATTCCCTGCTTGAGTTTGTTTCATTTTGTTTCAAAAATTTTTTACTGTAGCTGTGTATAAATTCGATACGCATTTGCTATTTGATGTCTTTTTCACTAGTTACTTGTAATAAAATTAGGATAGGTAATTGATTTCCATTATTTCTTTTTTTTTATAAAATGATCCTTCTTTATCAAAAATGGCGTAGTGGATATACATATCTAAGAAAAAGAGGTAAAGAAGCAATGGTTAACTTGCCGATTACGGTGTGCAGTACCATAAAGCATATTCATCTGTGCCGCTTGAACTGCTTGTGCAGCAACATAAGCATTAGTTCGTGCTGCTGCTGCGCTACTAGATGTCGAGTCGGCATATAGTCGGATACTTTTATGTTTAACTACACATAAACCGACGAAAACTGCACTCATTACAATAGCTACAGTGCTTAGGCATGCTATCATTATGATTGTTGGTGCAGCGACTTTTTCTTGCCTAAAATTGCATATTTCATCCCGGCTGGAAAGTGTAAAAAATACTTTACGCTTTTTTGGTAGGGAAAAAGTATAGATTAAAATGATTTTGAGGAATTTATGAAGTGAGATTCAGAGAAAAAATTTTTTACCTGTCGTAGTTATTCGTTTCATGCGTTGAATGTGAGGACTGGACACTGTTCAGGTTCCCCGGATCTGTCGGATCACTTTCAAGTTCGAGCCTTTCGATTGTTCTGTCGTTTGAAGTAACGGTGCTTTGTTCTGATTTTGGTGTGGGAGTTGCGTTAGCTATGACAATATTGGGCGGCAAAGTTTGTAGGATTGTACTTTTAGAAGTAATAATGTTTTTTGATGGAGTTTCCACTGCTAGTTGTGTTGATGCTGGCTGCAGCGACGTTCCATTTAATATGAATGTTGAAGTTTTATCTTCGTTTTTTGACTCTTCTTCTCTACTTGTATCTTTTTCGTTTCCTGCATTTATTACAAGTGTGGCCGTAGTTGTTTCAATAGTGGAGGTGGTGGTTGGCGTTAACGTGGCGAATGCTGGAGATAGAGGAGTAGGGGGATTAAGAAATGGTATTGGGAGTGGGTATAACCTATTAGGGTTTTCGACAGTTTTTTCTTCTTTATTTATCTTAGAAGCTTTGTTTGGTGTATCGCTTGTTAGGTTTCTGGTTGTCAGATTAGGTTTTGGTTTACTAAAAACGAAATTTCCACGCGATCGGCTGCTTACAATATTCGTATTTGGATCATGCTCGTGACTGTACTGAGGTTCCTGTTCTTGCTCTTCTTCTGTTTTTACTTTTTCCGTACCCAGCTCTGCATTTATCAATTTATACTGTTCATTATTTGTAGTTTCTTCAACGGTTTCACTGCTTCCAGTTGTTTGCTGAAATAGTATTAAGTAAATTTACAGGTTCAGCGTTGCTTACGCATATTAATTGCTGATCCTAGTTACTTTTTGAATTTTGATGGAGATTGGCCTTATCACTGGTGGTCGGATTGTCGGTAGTGGGATAAGATTTTGTTGAGTAGTTATTATCAATTCAGTGCTCGTGGAGAGCACGTTTTTATACGATTCTAATTCATGTTCATTTTCCCGATTCATGTCTGGCGGCAGATCAACAGGTGTTTCTTCGTTGTGGCATACTGAATCCTTACTGTTTGGGATGTAGACTCCGATGCCATCTTGAATCATGTGAATCTTCTCCGTACATACTAATGGATTTTCTGGAAAACAAGTGATAGTGGACAAGGCTTTTTCGACTTTGAAAAAGTTTGTTTCATTGCTATTGATAGTTAAAAATTTTTAAACCTTGTAGAAGAACAGTTTTTGTTCTTCGATTAAAGGCTGCGTATGGTGTTCGAAGCATCTTGTTTTTGCTAAGGTCGACAAGTATAATGTTGATCTGAGTAAAGAATGTTGATGGTGAAAGGTCGATAAGATTGTTTTCGCTTAGATCTATCATCACGAGACTGGGGCAGTTGTAAAAAACACTCTGTTCAATTGAATTTATCTGGAAACCAGGAAGAGAAGCACAAAGAATTTAATTAAATGCTTAATTCTTTCTAATATTTTAACATAACTATCAAAGTGCCTGAAGAATATAGGGTTGAGGTCTTTACCCTTATTTTTTCCGTGTAATTTAAATTTAAAAAAGTTGTTTTTGCTGGTGTTTGGTGTGTATTTGTTGGGATTATAGTATTTGACACAGTTGTTAATGGTTTACTTGGTTGTCCTTCAGTGAGATTTGCTGCAATTTTGATAGTCCTTCGAACATACCGTTTCGCAGTTCTGTGAGCCGATTTGAGCTCAGTGATAGGACCGAGATTGAACTATTGGCAAAACTGTTTGGTTGAATATTTAAAATATGATTTTCTCCAAGGTAGAGTTGTTTGAGGTTTTGTAAATTGGAAAATGCATCCGTGACGATTTCGACGAGTGAGTTTCCAGAAAAGTCCAGCATTTCTAACTGTTCGAAAGAGCTAAACTGATGAGAGTGTACCTGTAAGTGGTCTACTGAAAGTTTTTTTGTAGATGTTCGCATAAGAGGGAAAGGAATTGAGGTTTTATTTAGCGATCTCTGCATATGAAGATTCCGTTCTTCAAAAAATTTTTGATGGACGAAGGTTTGTCAACATTGCTGTTAGTGGTTTTTTATTTTTCAGTCAATCTAGGTCACAGTGGTAAAAAAAAATTTTGGTTGAGGCAAAGTACGAAGCGCCACGAATCAATTAGATGATTCATGGTTAAGGAGGGAGGGTTAAAAATTAATTTTTGGTACGCTTTTTTGGCTTCAGAATTTCTTAGGTAAAAGAGGAATTTTAGTGCTATTATTCTAAATTTTGCTGTACGTTTGACGGGCTTATTATACATCAGGATTTAGCCATTCAAAGGATTGCAGAAAGAAATAGGTATATCCACTTCAAATAGTTGTGAAAACGCTTAAGAAAATTGGAGATGGAATCATATTGTAAAAGAAAAAGGATAAGGAAAAAATGCATTCAATCTTGTTATTGTCTACCTGTGTGATTTTGTTTTCTGTTAGATATAAGTATCGCAGACGTGGAACATTCATGAAAGCTTGTTGATGAATTGTTGTTATTGTATTTGACGCAAGATTCAAAAGGTTCAGCGACGGTAAATTCATAAATGACAGTGGATTTATGGTGTCTATGTTGTTACCGTGCAGATGTAGAGCCATTAATTTTTTAAAGCCACGTATTGCTTAAAAAAAGAATTAAAATTTGAAGTTGCTTAGGCGTTAGTTAAAAACTTATGAATTACCTATGTCATTTACTTTTAAATACGGGAAGGAGAAACACACAACGATTTGAGAAGATTATTTTTTTTTTAAATGTAGGATACAATATAATAATGAGATTTAGACTGACCGGATGCTGGTACTTTTTTGAAACAGTTTCGTCCAAAGTTTAACGTCTGTAAACTGTTTTTAACATTCTCAAAAACAGATTTATGCACGTCACAGATGATGTTGTCGGCAAGATTCAGATCAAATAACTGCAATATAAAGGAAATTTTAGCGGTTTAGAAAAAGTGTTTTTGGAAAATAGAAAAGCAAAGAAGAATTATTTCAAGTTGGAAAAAAAATTTTTTCAGAATCGATACTCTTTTTCAAAAAGGATACAAAAAGTATTAATACTATTTACGATTGAATTTTTTCTACGAATTTCATACGTTTTAAAATAACGTGATTAAAGGTTAAAACCGAAAAATTTGTTTGGTGACATTTCGTTGCAGTCTGAAGTAAAAAAAACTTCTTTCGTTTGTTTGTTTGGTTCTTGGTTTTTTCCTTTCCTATTCTGCAGTTTCGGTTTGGAAAAGACAAAAGAAAGACATTATAGCGGAAGTACTGAAGAAACGTAAAGCTTTTAATCTATGCGGTGCTCATGGTTGTTGAAGAAGTCAGACTCCTGGCAAATGGTTGCAGGTTATTTTTTCGCATTCTGAATGGCAACAACTGGAGGGAAGACAAGAGGATTTTGTTTGATGAGTTTTTAGAGAGATATCTTCTTTCTTTAATTTTTATTTTTTTGAAATGAACAGGTAAAAGAAGTATTTTGAATTAAGAATTCTGAGAAATTTGTTAGGTTAGATTTTTTGACACATAAACCTTTTCATGTTGAAAGCAAGTAAATGTGATTATTATACGTTTATATTGAATCTTTTCCGAAAATTTTTTGCTTTTGGGGATCTTGCTGGTAGCGGTGTGGAAAAATGCTGGTTGAGCATTTTTTAGAGGACTTGCTAGATGAGGCTTTATTTGACCAAACTGAAGTTTTATGGGAGATTTTTGTACTACAGATAACGATAGTATCAGTGGGGATTGATTAGATGTATATTGGTTTCTATATGAGGGTTTTTTAGTTTAAGTGTACTTTTGAAAACCAGTGGATGGGTATGTTTTTTTTTTCTAGAAATCTGGCGATATTACAAGTGAGATATGAGAAGTTTTTTAGACAGCTTTTGTCGATGGATGGAAATTATGTCTCTACTAAAAAAAAGTTTCTGCTTTTTAGTATTTTTAATAGAATTCATGTTGAAACACAGATCTGTGTCGAGTGCGAAACAAATTTGTGAATTTTTTGTGCAGATTTTATCGGAGTGGTATCGAGTGGTGAACGGCATGAAAAATCAATGGAGAAAGAGTTGGGGGTGGAAGAAACTGATAGTTGAAAAGAACTTACGTTTGGGAGTTGTGGCAATTCGTTTCTGACACCTAGATCGCCAATACTATTGTTTGACAGATCAAGCTTGTGAAGCGCATTCAGTGGAGCTAAAGCAGAGGTTGGGAAGGTGGTCAAGTTGTTATGCCGAATAGATAGCTCTTGTAATACATTATTCATTCCAAGTAGGGAATCTGGTCCTATTTCGTCAATATGATTGTAGGATAGATCAAGTTTTTTAATATACAATCCCATAAAATATTTTGGTGGTATCTTTTGGATACTTGAGTTTTTTAAAATGAGTTCTTGTATTAAGCCCAAATTTTCGTGGTTAGCTTTTAATAAGTTCATAGTTTTTTCAGCGTCATCATTTGAGCAGTCTAATTTGACGCCGTTGCTTAAATCTTCGCAATGGCAAATTTCAGACAGAAACTGTGAACATCCGTCAACTGCAGAAATTCTATTTAGAAGTAAAGTTAATAGTAGTGAATAATAAACTAAAAGAGTTTTCATTGTTTTTGAATGTTGGTTTCGCCGCAGTTTCACCACTTAATTTACCGATTGTTGAAACTGTTAGCAGCAATAGTTGCAAATACTGTAGTAACAGCGACCGCAGGAGGATCAAGGACAGCGATGAAGGCTGTAACTACTGTCGAAACAGGAATAGGCAACTAAAATTACAGCAAAGTTTTTGAATGTTAGCAGTAAAGATAATTGTTACTGATTTCAGTGTGTTCGGAGAAAAGTAGTTGACGACGTTGTAGGAGTTTTGTGAACCAGCAGCAACATTTGAAGGCGGAACCCAGATGACGGGGGGAAAAGGAGGGGGAGACTCGGCAAGGCTGACGCCTGCCTGTCGAGCAAGGTCGCCAGTGTAGGGTGTCCCGTTGCTGAATTGATGCCTTCAACACTGGCATGAATTGGGTCATCGGCCTACTCAGTAGTCTTTCACTGTTGCTAAATCATTTCTCGTAACTGCTATTGTAAAGGACTTCCAAAACGTTTCTAAAACTGAAATCGGGACATAAATAGGAGGGTCAGAGAAGGAAAGATTTAGGCGGAAGAGAAAGAGGAATGGAGGGAAGAACGTTGGAGAGATTTATCGCGTTTAATGACGCAAGAGGATAGGTATGTTGGCGAAAAGAGAAAAAAATTATCCATGCGAAAGTTCAGAGTTAAAGTTGTTTTTTTTTTTCGTTCAAGTTTTTGCGACTACTTTTTTTTGTTACAGATTATTCAAAGCATTTGCGACAATAAAGCAAAAAGTAGGATGGTCTCTCCTTTCTTTCTCTTGATGATTTTATTTTGCTTATTCTTTTTCATTTATAGATTTTTGATGAAGTTTATTGTGGTTATGGTGGTGATGTTGTTGGCAGTTTAAGCGGTCAAACACTAATTGGTTATTTGATGATTTATGAGTTCGACTTGGTGTAGCCTACCTGTTTTTTTGTTCCTGTCAACAGCCGACAATGGAGTACTTTTTGAACGTTATTTGTAATGGACAGGAAAAAGAAGCAAACAATCAATATTTATCTGACTAGATTTCAATAAAACGGAAACATTAAGGCAATTAGCGCACAAAAAATTTGTGAGTAATATCACAGACCGGCAATCATTTCTTAAACATATTTTTGTCTTTATTAGGGTATAATGAAAAAATGGGGGGAAAACTTACAATGGCACGTTACTTATATGTACAGTATATATACAGTATATATATATATATATATATATATATATATAT